TCAAATCTTAGCTGCTCCGCCCGAGCTGCCCACGCTGGTGCAAACCTGCCCTGCTGGTTCGCGGCGGTCCAGGTGCGGAGTCCGGAAGCCTCAGCCCCTGATGGGCGTGGGGGCGGGGCGAGCGCTCTTCCTGTCTGTCCAGCGCCGCCCACATCCACATGCAGTTTATCCTAAGGTCGCTTGTCTTTGCTGCTCACCAAAGAAGGGCCCGGTGCTTTTTATTTGCTCAGGAGCCCTCAAATCCCACTGTGACCCGATATTTAAAAATAAGGCTAGTTTTTTGTTTTGTTCTGTTTTTTTCTAATCTAAATAAAATAGACATGCACTGTAGAGACAGGGGAATTAAGAGTAAAAAGAATAAACTTTAAATGACTGTCAGAGGCGAGATGATTGCTAAGTTTTGAAGAAGCACCTGTTAGCCTTGTAAACCAGCACGCACACGAATAAATCCCTACACTCAACATTCACCAGTGTATGAAACGTCAATGTGCTTCATAAAATTCAAGTCATGAAGTGGGGGTGTTAACACACACCTTTGATCCCAGCACTCATGAGACTCAACCGGAGCTTGAGTTCCAGGCTAGCCTAGGCTACATGAAACCCTGTCTCAATAAATAAATAAAAATGAATGGGTGCTATTTCCTTTTCATACGCTGAAAAATCTTATTTATAAGTAGTATCTGAATATTAGCACATACTAATAATCCCAACATTTGGGAAGTAGAGGCAAGGAGGATCAGGAATTGAAGGCCTGTCAAATTACACAGCAAATTAGGGCCAGCCTGGCCTACATTTCCTGAGACCCTGTCTCAAAAAAAAACAACACAATTCATTAGGGTGTACTGGTACACACCCTTAATCCTAGCACTTAGGGGGCAGAGGCATGTAGATCTCTGTGAGTTCAAGGCCAGCCTGGTCTACATAGAGAGTTCCAGACCAGGCTGTGCTGCACAGTGAAACCTTGTCTCAAAATAACAATAACACTAATAAAAGTCTCAACGTATGATGTAGTATCATTAAGAGTGTATGGACTTTTAAGGCATTTTTAAAACAAATAACCAAATTCTTTCTGTTGTTTTGGTTTTTAGAGACAAGGTCTCATAGCCGAGACTGACCTAGAATTGACTGTAGAGTTGAGGCTGGCCTTGAACTCCTGAGAGCTTGTTTGGAGGTTTTCACAGCAGGGGAGCACAGCCACTCACACACCCTTGGAGGAAGACAGGTCCTCTTCTTTTTAGGGAAGGTTCTCCTCTTCCATGAGCAACCCACTTTAGGAAGGACGCACATGGAGCTGTGGAGGAGGAACAGGGCGCCCACTGGAGCAAGCTCTCTTGTCCACCTATCTTTGCTTCACCAGCCCCCAAATACCGACATGGAGACTCCTTATTCATTATGAAAGCTTGGCCATTAGCTTAGGCTTGTCCCACTGGCTCTTATAACTTAAACTAACCTGTTTCTATTAATCTATGTTCTGCATGTGGCTCGGTTACCTCCACTCTGTACCATGTATCTGACCTCTTCAGTGCCTCCTTGGCATCCGGCTGCATAATCTACGCACCTAGATTCCTCCTCCTCTTCCTCTCTCTCCCCAGAAATCCTGCCTGTCCTCTCCTGACTAGTTATTGGCCGTTCAGCTCTTTTATTAAACCAATCAGAAGGCGCCTTGGCAAAGACACATCTTCACAGTGTACAAGAAGATTATCCCACAACACCCACCTAGCTGGCCAAATCAACCCTGGCGTCAGTGGGTGGGTGGAAGATGCTGTAGCCAGATCGGCCTCAACATCCCGGCCTTGGACTCTTGATCCTCCAGTCTCCACCTTCCAAATGCTGGAACTACTGGCGCAAGTCACCATGCCTGATCAAAGAATATGAACACTAAGATTTCTGGTATCATTCAAAGTTCACAAGCTTTGTAAACTGCCATCGTAAGCCTACAGTTTCCCTTTAAGAAAAAAGGGAAAGTTTGTTCTCCTTTAGCTATTAATTTCATATCTAGGAATCTAGCCTAAGGAAGTCAGAAATGTAAATAAAGGATTGTGTGCTGGATGTTCCTTCAGGTTGGCTTGAAGCCATACATAGCACAGGTCATCTTCGGTGGACCTTGTCGCCATTATCCTTCAGATCAAGGACAAACCAGCTTCTCCAGCATCCTCTAGCCATTAAGCTCCACAAGGGCTCAAGGAGGTAACTTAATCATTTGGTGTTCTGTTCTCCTTCATGATCTTCTATTTCTCTAGCCAATGCTCTTTCTTTTCTGCATAATTTTTCATGTGATACATAGATGGATGTATGGTTTGCCTTTCCTTTAAACACAACTCATAGGAAATATAATGTGGATTATGTTGTATGACTTTGGTGAGACCGTCTCAAGTTTATTCCTCAAATATGTATATTGCTGTGCCAAGCCCGGGAAAGGTTCTTTGGTTTGGGGGTTGTCTTAGTTAGGGTTTTATTGTTGTGAAAGACACCATGACCAGGCAACTCTTATAAAGGAAAACATTTTATTGGAGTTGGTTTACAGTTCAGAGGTTTAGTCCATTATCATCAGCATGGGAGGAAAGTATGGCAGCATGTAGGCAGACATGGTGCTGGAGAGAAACTGAGAGTTCTACATCTTGATCCGCAAGCAGCAGAAAGTCAACTGTCTACCACACTAGGTGTAGCTTGAACATATATGAGACCTCAAAGCCTGCCCCCACAGTGACACACTTCCTCCAACAAGGACACATCTTCTAATAGAGCCATTCCCTATAGGCCAAGAATGCAAACGCATGAGTCCATGGGGGACATACCTGTTCACACCACCACAGGGGTTTAGCTGTGGACATGTGTTTTGCTCTGTTTCCTTGAGCATTAAGGCTATACAACCCATGGCCACACCATCCCTGTTTGGGTTTTGTTATTGTTTTTTTATTTTTTGGTTGTTTGTTTCCTTGTTTGGTTGGTTAGTTGGTTGGTTGGTTGGTGGGTGGTTGGTTGGTTGGTTGGTTGTTGGTTGATTGGTTGGTTGGTTTGTTGTTGGTTGGTTATTTTGTTGGATGGTTGGTTGGTTTAGGTTTTTTTGAGACAGGGTCTCATGTAGCCCAGGCTGGCATCAAGCTCACTGTGTAGCTGAGGATAACCAGGAATGTTTGGTCCTTTGGCTTCGACTTCCCAATGGCTGGGATTCCAGATGTGTGCTCTGGATCTGGGTTTACAAGTGCTGGGAACTGAACCCAGGCCTTTGTGGAAGCCACCCTGACTGAGCTACATCTCTAACCTGGCTTGTTTGTTAGTGAGGGGGAGGGGAGTAAGTACACACATATGTGCTTAGATGCACTCACACCTAGAAAGGCCCAGGCTTGTGTAGACCAGAGGTTGATATTGAGGTGTCCTCTTCACCTCTCTCAAATATATATGTGTGTATATGTGTGTATGTGTGTGTGTGTATACATACATACATATATATATATGTATATATGTATATGTGTGTGTGTGTGTATATATATATATCGATGCATGGGAAAGTTTCTTTGGTTTGGGGGTTAGCTGTGGTTATGATTTTGCTCTATTTCATGGAGGGCAAAGTCAACAACCCAGGGCCAGTACTCTATCACTGAGTTTCACCCTTTCTTCACCTTATTTTTATTTTTATTTTGGGTTTTTTGGTTTTGGTTTTGGTTTTGGTTTTGGTTTTTCAAGACAGGGTTTCTCTATGTAGCTTTAGAGCCTGTCCTGAAACTCACTCGGTAGACCAGGCTGGCCTTGAACTCACAGAGATCCGTCTGCCTCTGCCTCCCGAGTGCTGGGATTAAAGGCGAGCACCACCAACACCCAGCCTGCTTCACCTTATTTTTCAAGCTATGTCTCTCGTTGAACCCAGACCTCACCATCTCAGCTAGACTCACTAGTCTTGGAGCCCTTAGGATCCACCTGTCTCTGCCTCCCAGCCCCACCCCAAGCACTGGGGTTATGGGCACCTTCCACCACACGTTGATTTCTTTTTTAGCCTGAGTGTTAGGGATGTGAACTCAGGTCTGTGCTTCCACGGCAAGCATTTTACCCAATGAACCATCTCGCCACCCTCCAATTTGTTTTTGAACGACTAAAGCTTTGCCTTGTTAGCTGGGAGTGTTGGTGATCACCAGGGCTAAGGCAAAGGGACTGAGAGTTTGAGGCCAGGACGCTCTATACACAAGACCCCATCTCAAAAAGCCAGAAGTACATAAATAAATAAATAAATAAATACATAAATTCAAGTTCAACGCTATGATGCCCTTCCCCAAATGTGACTTCCTGCAGGGCCTTTCCTGTCCATCCTACTTAAGTTTGCTCTCTCTCATCCTCAGCTTAATCCTGTTCCTGGCAGTTACAGCCTGTGGTTCTCAACCTGTGGGTCGCGACCCTTTGGCAGTTGCATATCAGATATTTACATTACATTATGATTCATAACAATAGTAAAATGACAGTTAATGAAGTAGCAACAAAATCTTATGGTGGGGGGTGGTGTGTGTCACCACAACATGGATTAAAGGCTCTCGGCGTTAGAAAGGTTGAGAACCACTGAGTTAGACCATTGCACCTGCTACGTATTTTACACACTTAGTATTTGTCTCAACCTACAAGAACATCCCCATGATGAAGCTGTTCATTTGCTCAGTCAGTCAGTCAGTCAGTCATCAGGAGCATCCCTGGACTAAGTCTGGAGTCAGACTTAGTCCGGAATGGAGAACTCCAAGCCTGCCACAAGCTCTCTAGAAACTTACCATTGAACTGGGTGCATCAAGCAGGCAAAAATACAGAGCAGGCTATAGTTTGTAAACACTCGAGTCAGTGGGGCAGGACCAAGGAGGTGTGTCCCGGGGGGATGTGAAGACAGCAGCCTGTCTCCCCCGAAGGGAAGGCTGTGAGGAATGGACCATGTTTAGCGTCAGGCTGGAACTTGATGATGGGATTTGTGGTAGAAACTTAGGCTCCTCTGTAAGCGGCGTGTATTCCTGAACAACAGCAAAAGCAGCTGGACAGAAATGATTTATTAAGATACCTCTGGCGGACAAAGAGCAAATACATCAAACGTATGATGAATGGGAGAGACAAAACTCTGCTCTGAGAGGTCAGCGGGTGGAGATGGGAGGGACCAAGGGAGACGATAAATGGGGAGCATTGAAGGTGGCCGTGCCGGGCAGACCTGGCAGAACAGTGACTCAAAGGCATTTTCCAAGAAGCCAGGGTTGGTAGCACATGCCTGTAACCTAGCACTCGGGAGGCTGAAGCAGGAATGTGAGTAAGGGGCTAACCTGGGCTACACAGCAAGACCCTGTTTCAAAAAATAAGCACAAAATACAATAAAAGGCATTAGCCCCCAACTCCAGCTCTCAAATTAAAGCAAGTAAGACCATCAACCACTGAAAAGGACCTCTGGGGTGTAAGTGAAGGACACCCTAAGGCTTGGCTGCCTGTGTAGAGACAGAAGTGGAGACATAGAAAGCATAGGATAAAACTCAGTTGGATTATTCTGTGTAAAACCAATTCAGTGAGCCAGATAAAGAGAAATGAAAATTGCAGAGAAAATGAGAATTTCTATTTTAGATGAATCCCATATGGGTTCGTCTCTTAATTTACTGAAAGCAGATGGCTGGCCCAGGACAGACTAATTTATTACCATCCTGTCATTCGGAGCCACGATTTCCTGGGGTTCCTAAGCAACTCTAAGGGAAATGTCAGATTGCATGAAATTTCCTGAACAGATCCTGTGAAGCATGCGCATCCCAGTGAAAATGTCTCCTTTCCTCAAAATCCTTGACCACAGCCGCCAGCCAGCTCTGCTCTCTTGCTAGAGGCCGATGCCTGGTTCCTCTGTCTGCCAGGAAGCAGTTCTGCGAAGGTCTAGGGAGAAGAGGGACCACAGCAAAGGGTGAGGCAGAACGCTGGAGAAAGCTCTGCTGCTGGATATTTCATCTTACACACACACACACACACACACACACACACACACATACACACACACACACACACAAAGTAGCAAAACAATTCAGAAGAAGAGTTTAAAGCTGGGGATGATGGGGCACACCTGTGATCCTAGCACTTGGGCGTGTGGAGGCAGGAAGGTCAGTTCAAGGCCAGCCTCAGCAGCATAGAGAGTTTGAGGCCAGCCTGAGCTACATGAGCTTCTGTCAAAAATAATAATAATAATAATAATAATAATAATAATAATAATAATAATAATAAAACAAAATGAAGAGTGAGAAGAGAAAAAGAAGGGGATGAGGGAAGAGGGCATCTGGGGAAATTGTCTTTGATTCAGCAAACCCAACCTGGCGAACTGAGGATTGTAGAACTGACAGGAGAGGGTTAAACCGTACGGACGGGTTGAGAATCCAGATGCTTTAGACGGGAGACAAAAGCATAGGGGTGTAACAAGAGCAGCCATTAGCAGTGTCAAACTGGTCATGGCAGCTTACCCTTGTCATCTGGGCACTCAGAGAGCAAAGGCAGGAGGATTACCAAGAGTTCAAGGCCAACCTTCAAGTGCCAGGCCAGGACTACATGCATGCATGCACACACACACACACACACACACACACACACACACACACACACCACATACAGAGAGAGAGAGAGAGAATGAATGAATGAATCACTATGTGCCAGGCCATGAAAGAACGGTCCCATCCCTTATCTCCAGCTCATAGGATTCCTAAAGGGTTTAAGTGAGGTGTCACGGACGAGTAGGCAGGCTGCTGTGGGTCGGCTCAGGGGTCTGTCACAGTGTAAGGACTCCACCTGTCAGAAACGGGACCGACAGCAAGCGGCAAATGCCAGAATGAGAGTGTGTCCCCGTGACACAGGTAAGTTGACTGCACGGCCTGTGGGTGGCGTGTTGACGTTAGGTTCACAGGAAAAGTGAGTGCTGGGTGCGGAGTGGAGGGCTAGCACGGCGTGGTTGTAGCTTGAGTCGGCCCCGGCGTTTCATGGTCGGGAATCCTGCAGTGATGTTGCACGGTAGCAGAAGCGTTGAGCACCCACTTCA